TGCAGTCGTGGTGCAGCGCTGCACAACTCCACCGCTCGCGGCCAATGAACGCTGCCAGGGACACCCTCTGCACCCGCGACAGAAGCCAGCCACGTATCGCCCTCTTCTTTTGGCGCGCCTGCAGTAGCGGCCTCACTGGTCCGCTGCGCCGTGGTGAGCACCTGTCATCTGAGCTGCTTGGGTTGTGAACAGTGCTCGAGTGCCTGAGTTGTGAAGACAGGAGTCAATTTGCACTGGGCGACGCGCAGCCCCGTGCCAGTCTGCGTTTTGTTTTGATGGCTGCTCTCGTGTCGTGGCCGTGGCAATACGCCGGCCCCAAGAATAGCACTGCCATCGCGCACTTCACCACCGACTCGGACCCGTTCGCAGTGCAAAATTGTGCCGCGGCCGTTGAGCGCTCCTGCGACGCCTGGCCTTGTCCGTCGGGCGGGGCCACGTCCTACCATGGGCAAGACGGAGGGTGTCGCGATCAGCGCGACTTATGCAAATCGATCCCGAATCTGATGCCCATGGTAGCGTGGCAGTGACAACGTCGGCGGCGAAACCGGACTGCCTGGTGCCTGTAGGCGAGCGTCATCAACGTCCTCGTCGCCAAATTGCTGCTCGTGCAATCGTCACTGGCAACCCAAGCGCTCGGCGCCCCCCTCTGGGCTCGGTGCAATATCGTAAGCAGGTGCCCACTGTATGCATGTGAGGATGTTCGAGCCTTCGAGGCCGGCACCTGCTCCACTCACACCGTCCAACATATTTCTTACCCACTTCCTTGGTCGCGGATTGGCCCCTCGAGCTCATCAATACCCATAGTGACGCTTGCAGCCCTTACCGTGATTTTCCATCAGGCACCAGAAACATCGTGTTGGTCATGCAGCTGACTTCACCATCCCACGTAGGAGGCAATATTTGTCTCGTGTGGAGTCGAACGCTACGTCGTCCACAACGATATTCACGGCACTTGAGTTTACGTCAGGGATGCGGTGAGGGCGAACACTATGGGCTGGAGAAGGAATAAATAAGTGCCGGCAAGGAGATGCACGCGGTACTGGATTGGCAAGCGATGTTGCTAAGATAACTTCAAATCAAAGTGGCTTAGCGCAGGAGTGACACGTGACTAAGTGTGAGGATAGCCAGGCATCGTGAGATGGCTGAGGCGGCAGTGAGATATTTCCTACCTACCCATTCCAAACGTCTGGGCCTGTGGTACCCTCCAGACCGGCCATGAAAAGCAATTACTGCGAATATCCTGCGCATTTCGAAGATACCCAAGGCTCCTGCTTGGAAGATTGGTCGCACGCGCGTTTTCGGCTCACACAGTGCCCAACGCGTTCGTGGTGCGCTGGCAACACATGCCGCTAATCCGCATCGCATGACACTGGCAAGTACACGACGACTGCAATGTCCTTGCCGAAGGAGCACGAAATTCTGATGGCCAAATTGTATGAGGCGAACACAGCGCAACATTTCAGATTCATTCAGATGGCGTGCGTTTTGCACGTAGACTCGTCAAGTGACCATGATACTTAAAGGTCAGAGGTCCCAAACGCCGATGTAAATGCTCACTCCCGTGGTATATCCCAAAGCTTTTCACGCCCAAACCAGAGACGAAACCCAAAAAAAAATTGACCTCGCGTGGTCTAATTCATCTGTCTGATCAATTCGTTGATCTTGTCTTCCCGGTTGCCTAAGTCACCACCTTCGATGAAGTGCTTGAACTTCCTCTTGCGGAAGCCACCAGTAGGGCTGTTAAGCTTGAACGGCCAGAGGAAGTTCGAAGCAGCCTTGAAGTTCGGCCCAACGGTGCAGATCTCATGGATAAGGTCTTCCATACAGATCATGCCGTATTTGCCAAGGTTCTCTTCGATGATCTCGTTGTCCGTCAGAGGAAGGCGTTGCTTGTCGACCTTGCCATAGCCACGCTCTGTATCCCAGTTAATATCTGGCAGTAAACTTGCATCTGTACCGAACTTACTGTAGATGAGCTCACGAACCGACTTCTGGTTCGGGTAGCCATAAGCAACGAAGGGCTCAACAATCTTCAGCATCTCCATAGTCGCCTTGGTAAGCTTGACGAAGACGCCATTGTTGATCTGAAGTAACCGCAGAAGCTGCAGTGTCTTGCGCTTCTTGGGATCAATCTTGTTGATACCCTTTATCCGGACGACGAAGGCGAGTTTGGGCTCGGCGGGGACGTATAGGCTGTCGCTCTTCTTGGCCTCGCGCGACAAGCGCACGCGCTCCCGCTCGGCATCGCGGTACTCCTTCACATACTTCTCGGCTCTCGTGAAGATGACCTCGCGCTTCTTCTTGCTCTTGTCTGTGTCATGTCAGCGCTGTCTGCAACAGTGTGTCATGCCATGAGCTCCAGTGAGGACGATTGCATCATTCCCGAAAGATGGTTAACAGTTCGACAACATTGACCGTAGTCTAGCCGATAGTGTGGTAGTTATAATCATCGTAATCGCCCTCATGGATCGTCGATAGCATGCTGGGGTTGGTCGTACCTCGCTTCTCGCGTGTTGCGATCGCGCGCTCCTCACGAGCCTTCTCCTGAGACTTCCTCTTCTTGAGGAGGTTCTCAGGCACGAGCGTGATCTCACTCTGTGTGGGAACAGTTCTATTGGGTAAGGATTAGCTTTGGAAACTGCGCGTGGTGTAGGGACAACGTACGACTTCGACGACATGTTGAAGTGGTGTTCGAGAAATTCTTCGGAAGCTCAATTTTTGCCAGACTCTTAGCGTTAGCGCTAGCCGCTATCCCGCAAGCGCGGGCGCCAAGATGCTGCGCCCCACAAAAACAGATGCAGCCGCGACCGAGGTCAAGGGAACATGAGCGCTCCAACGGCTTCGCATTGTATCCGCTGTACACCTTGTTTACGTCGCTGAGCATATACGGTAGAGTCTGTACTCCGTCGTATCCCATTCTACATCATACCTCTAAATAGGATGCATTTGGCAACCTTTTCTCGAGTTGCGTCCACCCGTGGACGTACGAGCTTCTGATGTCCACGGGTCTTTATGCCTTTATTTGCAACAGAGTCCCCTGTTACTGATGCTGCTTTTCCTCCCTGTCATCGCTTTTATGGTCATCTCACATACTTTTTGACGGCCAACAAGAGCAATCTCGATGACAGCCACGCTTTGAGAATGCCTTTCCGCCATTGGTCTTCAAACCGATCTCAATGAAGCCCGGCAAAGGAGCGCCTTGCTCACCACGGGCAGCAGCAAACTTCCTTCGGTTTTTCTCCGAAGAAGATTACGATCTTGCCGCCATCTCGTGTCGATTTACATGAGCGTTTGGAGCGATTTCGGCACCCGAGGTATACTCAGTCACCACTGACAAATTCCTCCCAGGCCGCTGCTCCTCTAGTACGACATTGTGCATAGAAAGGGCTCCTCACATCAAGGTCATCTATTCAACCTTTGTTGCGCGAAAATTCACAATGTCACACAGCCGAGCGTGTCCCTACTCATAAACGCTTGATGTCAGCCTGGTTTACTACTACTCTACCAGGCCACAAACTTCCACATCAACTTCGCCCTCGCGCGGAACGACATCTATATTGTAACCACTGTAGTCATGACTGAACCTATTCCGATTCGACAAGACCCCTATGCCTTAGCTTACCGGTATCGTGAGTATATGAAAGAGAAGCCCCGGGGTCCCGCGGAGCGCAGTAACCCATACTACGAGAGGCTGCTCGCGAATTTACCTGATCCTGACATCAGTGCTATGGATAACCGCTCACGCGCCATTCGGTACGCAAAGAAACATTATGAATGCTATTATGAGATCAGGGATATATGGCGCATCATACGATGGCTGCCACCAGCCGACGAGGAAGATTCTAGCTAGGCGGTAGTAGGTGAGTTCATGGGAACTGGCAACAATCACTATGATGGTTTCTCTTGTTTTGTATTGCTCTATCCCAGGAGTTGATGTCAAAGTTTGATCCTGATGGTTATGCTACTACCACCTAACTAAGTTTGCTCGTTGTTATTGGATTTAGGATACATCCTAAAATGCCCGCCGTTCCTATAAGATTCTCAATCAAGTATACCGGCATATGATGCATCTTAAAAAATAAGCGTCTGCTTGTAGAAGGACCGCGCCAACATACTAAGCTACTTTGATCATGTCCCGTAATGTAGAGACAAGTGCACAAAACTCTTCTTCATGAATCGACATCATTGATCCTCTCCGTTCGACGTACACCACTGGTGGGTTTCCCAATACAAAATCCCCAACTGACACCATCGTCTACGGAAATTGCACTCTTTTGCCAACTCCCGAATGGCCGCCTTACATGCCTCACATAAAGCATCCCCGTCGCACCTTCCTGATTAGTCCCTTCGCTGTCGTTCGATATCTACACCACGGCACAAGACACCCGCGAACCTGGTCTAGACCTACTCTGAACCCTCAGATCGTTCGTTTCACAAATGACGAGATTTGCTTTGCGCCACAGGAAGCGCTGTGCCGTTTCGTTTCACTACACCCCAGGTCCCACTTGTTTCACACAGTACCATGTTCTGCTGGCCTTAACCGTAACGCTATACCGTATTGCATCTTGGAAAAACCTGCTGATGTATACTGTTGCAGGTCTTCTTTTCGTGGTGCCGGAGAAGAAGGCCCGATAAGTGTTTCTGACATGCTATAGTTGGGCACAGTTAAGAAACAGAGCGGTGCACAATGATACGTTCAGTCAAGTGGCAAGTACGATGACGAGTGTCTTTTGTGGAATTGCTATCGTCGAATAGTAGAATACTTGTACATTTAGAGGGATATCGTTAACGCATGATAAGACTCCTGGAACGCCATGCTGATGAAACGCCGATTATGAGGCATGAAAACGCCACGCCGTAAGTGTGGATAATGATGATGACGAAGTTTGAAGAGCCCGTGTAGGTGAGTATCGTGGTGCGAATGTCATGGGCAAATACCAAGGTTCGCCACGCTGCCGTACCCCAATGACCCGAGTCCGCTGTCTCTAGGCCCACCTTCTCTATGGTAGGAAATGTGAATAGTGGCCTGGAACCCGCTGTCTGCACTTCTCGCAGTCTTCCCGGTAACCCATACTGAAACGTCCCATACCGGTCAAAGCACCGCTTCGTTTCCTTCCGCGAGGCGTCGAAGGTGGGGCCAAGGTGGAGGATGACTCGGTATCCATCTGATCGGCCGTACTGGTGTGCGAAAAACTAAGTCGCGATAGTTGTGACTGGGTGAAAGCGGTTGGCGTATCTGGAATGTCATCGTCCTCGGATATGGGTGAAGGCATGCGTCTAGTCCGATCTTCGTCTACATCCTGCCTCTGTCCCTTCCAGGCTGGTGGAGGTGCCTGCATGGACGGTACATTCGAGTTGTTCATAGCTATGCCACCGGCTGATCCGCTCATCGGATAACCCAATCCGCTCATCCCCCCTCTCTTAAAAGTCGGGTGTATGGGTGTGGGTATCCGACTATTGTTGTTGACGGCGTCTGAGTTGAATAGCGATGGTTGGAGCATGGGCGGTCGCATGAAGTTGCTGCCAAACGAGTTGAAGGCGGGCGACTCTGGCGGCTGGCTCCGAACATCCATGTCATCGTCGTCCATATCCATATCCATGTCCATGCCACTTGATTCTCTTGATATACAGACAGGTCCACCATATATCGAATCCGGCGAATTCGCTCCTCCATATTCTGAATGTGCCGGTGTCATAGACCGGATGTCCGTAAAGAGTCTTGGTGGGGTCGACAGCGATTGATGTTGGAACTGGTCAAGGTTGGTCGGCTCGTTGCTGCCCGGTCGGGATTTCTGTACCGCCATTAGCCAAAGCCCGGCACACGATATTGCCGACATACCTTGGGGTACCTTTCCTCGTCGAAATCCGAGTCTGAATCGTCGTCGCGCCCTCGCTTCCTGGCCATGAAGTGAAATGCAGACATGGTGATGTAGACTAAACGAGTGGTCCTTCCTTACGTCGGCGCAACGCGATCAACGCGTCGGTGGAATGGTAACGAGATGATTGTGGTGGTGCAGTGAGGGTCGAGAGGGGTGCGGCTGAGGAAGCGGGACTGCGATCGAGAGACCTGGTCGGTATGTTTGACGCAAGCCGGGCGGGGGGTTGATATGACTATCAGGGGCGCTGTTTCAGGTCGCATGAAAAGAACCAAGGCTTGGATGGTGGAGTCGCGCGCCTCAAGCGACTGTGGGGGGAACTTGCGACTTGGTTGCCGGGAGTTGGAGGCCCGTCCAGATCCAGCCCGAGGTGTCGCTTGCCGGCGGTGCGTGCGAGAGATAGTCGCGATGATGTCGACGATGGTGTGGCTTAGCGTGGCGGAGTGGTGATTGGCAACTGAAGCCAAACCTTGAACTCGCCGAAACCGAGGCAGGTACGGCATCACGTGGGCTGTGTATCTGCATGTCCAAGGGGAAGGGGAGGAGCCTACGTTCACTTGTCATGGCGGGATGTGGCAGGAGGCGTGTGTGTGTAGCCACCTGGACATGTCGCAAGCTGAATGCAGGCCTCTAGGGGTCGGAGAGATGCTGTTGGAAGGGATACGGGCTGAGTGAGCCGTTGCTGCAGCTTTGGTCAGACAGTGCCGCCAACGCTTCCATCCAGCCTGCCAGCTGCCACCTCATAGCAGAATTCAAAACCAGGCCGATCTGCAGACTACACCAAGAGGAAAAGGTCATGTTCACGCCGTCGTCGAGCTCCAGCAGCAACATACACGTACATTGACCAACAGGAAGAGGGCGATTCCCAATTCCAGGGTAACGAGCTTGGCGCACATGCAGCTGCAAAGCTCCGTCGACGGTGTATCGATAGCCTGCGGGACCAGAACCAACCATCAGCCCCACCCCGACCTAAAGTTTCCCAAATAATTTGGTGGCATATGACTGTATTTGCAACGCCCTCATTATACCCTTTGCCTGTTATTCTCGCCGACCTCGGACCTGCGCCTGCATACACCATCTGCGCGCTTGATTTTCTGACTTGAGACATTCAACGCCCCTCCTTGCACTCTACTGCACGCCCTGTACAACCTCGCTGCTGTACATCCGCATACGTCTGTGCCACAGTCCAAGTAAGACTGACCGCAAATTGACAGTCGCTTAGACAGCCTACTAATATACATAAAGATAGCCTACTCACTGTACAATGGCTCCCGCTGCAACAGAAACACCCGACATGTCTATCAACCCGAGCGACGATGTGCGCGTACTTGGCTACGACCCGCTGATCCCACCCCAACTTCTCGCGTCCGAGATCCCCATCCCCGCACATGCCGAAAAGACCGTCATTCAAGGTCGCAAGGAAGCCGCCAGCATCATTACCCAGAAAGATGACCGTCTCCTCGTCATGGTCGGGCCCTGCTCGCTCCACGACCCAGAGCTGGCACTCGAGTACTGCCAGCGCCTCAAGGCCCTCGCCGACAAGCTTCAAGACAACCTCTGCATCATCATGCGCGCCTACCTCGAGAAACCACGCACAACCGTCGGCTGGAAGGGCCTGATCAACGACCCAGACATTGACGAGAGCTACAAAATCAACAAGGGCCTGAGAGTGTCGCGCAAGTTGTTCGTGGACCTCACATCCGCGGGCATGCCCATTGCCTCCGAGATGCTCGACACTATCTCTCCACAGTTCCTCGCCGACCTTATCTCTCTTGGTGCTATTGGTGCGCGAACAACCGAGTCACAATTGCACCGTGAGCTAGCCTCTGGTCTCTCTTTCCCTATTGGATTCAAGAACGGTACCGATGGAGGCTTGACCGTGGCGGTCGATGCGATTGGTGCTGCTGCTGCCAAGCACCACTTCATGGGCGTAACGAAGCAAGGTCTGGCTGCTATCACCAGGACGGCAGGTAACGAGCACTGCTTCGTTATTCTTCGTGGTGGATCCAAGGGTACCAACTACGACAAGGACAGCATCAAGGCTGCCAGGGAGGCTTTGAAGAAGAAGAACCTGCCTGAGGTCATGATGGTCGACTGCTCACACGGTACGTTCCTGTATACAAGAATGCTCTACAAACACACACTAATATCTGATAGGCAACTCCAACAAGAACCACCGCAACCAGCCCCTCGTAGCCAAGGACATTGCCGACCAGATCCGCAACGGTGAGACCGGCATTGTTGGTGTCATGATCGAATCCAACATCAACGAGGGCAACCAGAAGGTCCCCCCTGAGGGACCTAGCGGTCTGAAGAAGGGTGTCTCCATCACAGATGCTTGCATTGACTGGGATAGCACCGTCGACACTCTCGAGAACCTTGCATCTGCTGTCGCCGAGAGGCGGGCAAACCAGAGCAAGTCCAACGGTGCACACTAAACGCATCTGTCGAGTGCAGTGTTCGGGTTAGATTATGTATATAGTATGGGGTATTTGGCGTTGGCAAAAGTCTAGAGAGTTTGGGATATGGATGAGACGATAGGGACTGACTTATGATCGATGAACGAGATGCATGATTGAACCAATCAAAATTCTTGGCTTCAACTCCAAATCACAAAACATCCAACGCCTGAATGCCCACGGGTATCTTCGTTCTGACGTTCCTGGCTCTTATCACGTGCTCTCACTCATCTTCTTCCTCGTCCACCACTTCCTGCTGCTGCGTGCTGCGCCGATTACCGCCAGTGCTCGTCCTTGCTCCCGTCCAAGCCGCCCTTTCTCCTACAAACACGTCTCCCGTACATTCCGTCTGACACTTGGGACACTTCCTACGATCCCCGCTCCTGCCTCGATAGTAGCTATTAGCACACGCATCGTGCCACCGAACCCCACACTCTTTGTTGTTGCACCTTATGCCAAACGTAACAATCTCCTTACATCCCTCACAATCCCGGATCCTGATAATCTCCCGCCCATCCTCGTTTTCTTCGGCAGACTCATTGTACGTTTCCTTGAGGTAAGCGCGGAGTTCCATGAGCGCGCGTGGAGCCAGGGAATAGTAACCCGCTTTGGACTTTTGGAAGAAGGCTTGCGAGACGAGTGTTTCCAGGACCTGATCTGCCTCGGCTATCGTTATTCCCGTATCAGCGCTGGCCTGGGTGTCGTCTGCATCGCCGTTGATCTGGCTCTGTCTGCTGTTTGCCTGACTCTGTCTGTTCCGGCGTGAGGTGCGAGCAAGCTGTGAGGCTTCTGTATGCTTCACCGCCATGACTTCGCGGATGTTGGTGTTGTTTGTCTCAAACATTTGGTCGAGGACGCGTCTGATGTATGCGATTTCGTTTGCGGAGAAGGTGGTAGCGAATTGGGTGACGGTGTCGCTTGCGTTGTTAACGAGGGCGTATATGCTTTCTTTGGTTTGTTGATCGCGTGTTGATCGGATCTCGTAGTCGAAGGCTTCGATTTTGGCGTTTATGGTTTGTATGGTGGACGTGATGTTTGGCTGGGTTACGTCGCCTGCTGTCCATGGGCGCTCGGGGTCTGTCGGTGTCGTCAGCTTGTGCGATGGCAATGGCGTAAAGGAAACGGACTGTGTGCAGTCATCACATGGGCAAGGATAGACTTTATTTCGTCTACTGTGAGGACGCTGTGCGTATGGAACGCCTGTAAGAATGCGCGATGGATCCCGTTGTAACCTTCTTCTTCGGCCGGGGCGCGCACGAAGGGCGATTCTTCGCGAGACATGTTGCGTGAGAAGGATGTTGGATAACTTTGAGTGAGATGTAAAGACGCGTAATTTGACTGCGCGACAGCAGTTTGGTAAGTGCGGCAACGGATCACTTACGCGATCGCGGGGAACCTGAAAACGCGTCAACGCGAAACCACGTGAAGGTATCCCATGCCGCCTACCCGACCTGCGACCCGGAGCAGTTCTCACGCCACCATTATACAACAGCATTTAGATGGGACAAGCTGCGCTTGCAATGTATGCAATTACTATGCAAGAGCTGTAATAGATCCACTGTCTTCACATACGGAAATGTTCTGGAATAATGCCTCGGGCACCTAGTGATTCGTAGAAGATACAAAGACAAGCGCTTCGTGAGCCATCTAGACTGTGTCTACCATCCTTCCATTCATGCTGCATTCAAAGTCATGTAGCTAGCAACCCCCGGGCGCTACCTGTGCAAGTGCGTATAATACAATATCCTAGCATTCCCATCCATAGCTCGTCAAAGTCGTAGCTCTGATGCTGTCCTTCCTATCTCATACAGGCAGATCAGCATTTCGCCTCGCACCGCTTATCGTTTCCAGTGCCTTGGCTATATATGGCCCAATCACCGGTACATTGCTGACGAAGCCCGCAATGGTCATGAGAAAGTCTCCAAACAGCACAAGTATGCCGTACAGTTCGATTATGAAACCGATGAAAGCCCAACGCATCAGGATAAGTGATATACCAGCGACGAATGCCACCGTGCCTTTCCATTTCTGCTTGCGCGCGAAGAAGGCGACGGTTTTCGTTGTTCCGATGATGAGTGTGAGACCGATCAGAAAGAGTATCTATTGGGGGTATTAGAGAGGGTTCGATAGCGGAGGACTTGGTTCGAGGAGGTCGAAGACGTACGTTTCCCATTGCCAGCCTGTTCGCATGTCAGTAAAGGCTGTACGCATATGCAGAGTTGAAACGTACATTGCGCGATCAAAAAACATCATGACACCTCCCATCAGAAAGAGTCCGCCTGTTCATGCTGTCAATCTTCTGCTGAGTAGTGGGCGCATTCGTGGTGGTGGGCGCGTACCTACCCCCTGAACAGAAGGCGACCCCAATCTCTGTCATTGCTGTTAGATCATGTCCTATGCGGTGACTGAGGCTGCATGTTTGCGTAACTTACTCTGGGTGTCTGAAAGCCACATAGTCGGCATCTTGGTATTTTGTTGTTTGTACAGTGCGCGGCGTGCGAAATTCCGTAGCGATGTGGAAGAAGACGTCGTAGGAGAGGAGAAGTAGTAGAGTGGCGCCTAGTCTCGATGTATATCTGGCATGAAGG